ATTTTCGGTGAAATTGATGCGCTCTCCTTCGAACATCGCTGCACGCATGCTTTCGACATTACGAGAACGAGCCTGCAATAGCAAATCACTACGATTAGTTAAGATTATGAAGATTTAGTTTGTTACAACTTAATTCGAATTCAAGGCGACCAAGCCCTTTTGTAGGCCTTAAGAAAGATTGCCGCTCGACTCTGTTGCCGTGCAGACCAGGCGTCCGTATGGCCGAGCCACACGAGGGAAGTGTTCTGATTTTGGGGAAAGGGTCGTAATTGGCAAAATGGAGTCGTTGTTGTGGAAGGCATGGAAGGAGAAATTTTGGAGCGCGGATTTCAAACATGCTAGCCCTTTTCATCTCTCAACATCTGAGGTAGATCTCTTCCCCGCTCGGAACATTTCCATGTAGATGCTTTGCTCCCATTACTGCAGTCTTAACTATAGGACATAGCTATGAAGCTACACAAACAGCTTTCGTAATATTCACCTATCTAGGCAGTGTACCTATGAAGGAGGAAGGGAGGCATCGTTATGCGGACAATTTAGGGAGAAAAATATGAGCTTAGGGGAAAATGAAAATTGCCCACACCCCCTGGTCCCGTAAGGCTTAGTTCTAGGTGGAGGGCACCAAGAGGGGGGGGATACTGAAAGCTTTGGCCCCTTCGCATAAGATGCCCCCTGAGTCCGCAGCACCCTGCCCGCGTTTGCGCCCAAAAATGAAATTAAAATCGATGGCAGCACATCGGAATGCCAAGAATAGATACTCACGACGTCGAGCAACTTGTCAAAAGAGATGTCGGAAATCCGATGTTTAGAGAAGTCGAACAGTACAGCACCATCAGGGGTGTCAATAAAACGCCTATAAAATTCAAACATCTGAGATTTGTACTGTTGATTAACGTATGTTGATATATTACGTGTATTTATTGAAACGGTCGGGATCGTTGAGTAACTGCTGGTAGATGCTTAGCTGTTCTTTCTCATGACAATCGACGAACGTTTTGAGATCTTGGAATCGGGCATCCCTGCACAGCGACATTCCTGATAAGAAGCATATTGTATCGTATGTTCGCGATAGTGGTCAGACCACAAAATCAGGCGGAATATGTCGACATACACGAACGATTACACGAGGCGAGAATTGACGGATAGCATGGGTTTGTATTGGTGACCAAAGAATCAAATAAAAACTAGATTTAGAAACCCGAGTTTGAAGACAATTCGCTGCCACTACCATACCACCAGTTTCGAGCAAATGTATGGATTAAGTTTAGTGCTTTCGCAGTGGTCTTCATCACATGCTGCTGCGTTCAGAGTTTGCGATTTTGTAAACTTTTAGGAAGTAGATGGGTACCGACCATGCAAGCTTGCGATCGCGCGATCGCAAAATCCACTGCCGATACGTACCTATTGAAGTCGCACTGGCAAGACGATCGTAAAGTATGATTGCGGCCTTTAGAATGATGATTTTTGAAACCAACCGGCTAAACCAGTGATCGTCCAAAATGGGGCGCTAATGTCCTTAGGGGGGGGACATTCGGAACAGGGCATTTAAAACCGCTGGTAGGTGACTAGGACTAAGCCAGGAGAGGGGAGAAACGCCAGGGAGAACAAAGGTTGCTCACGTCCTCCCCAAAATCCTTCCCCTCCTTGAAGCTTTGTCCCAAGTTCTGTAAGTGGCTCACTCACTTCAATGTCCTTCTTAACGACATAAGCCCCAAAACCGTATTCACAAAGGTAATCGAACACGCGGGGTGCAGGGTAAATTGAAGCGACTGCTATACCAAGTACATAAAAAGTATGCAGTTTCCCCACGGCAATGAAGTGAATACACCAAAAATTCTCAGTTATTTTTCACCCTACTACCCATTATTGCCTACTATTCCCAAACTATTTGGTCGTCTGACACCATGTCTTGAGAATAAGTCCAAAATGGATATTCACTATGCGAAAATGATTGAAATTATGTATACTTTATATGAAAGCACACAGTAACGCGAACTAACACATTCTTCGGTCAGGTCGACACAATTCTTTTTATTGAAAAACTTAACGTAATGCTATAAAATTCATCAGCCTTCCATCCAAAACAATGCTTTCGTTTCTTGTTTCATGGTATTAGAGAAGTGATGCAATTGCGTTGACTTCGATGAGAATTTTTTGATTATTGTTACCATGCCTTTAAGTTTTACTTCTAGCCAATTAATACTGCATTTCATTTAGAGTCTAGGAAGCTGTTCACCTTTGTGGAAAATGAAGACCCTTTCCAATAACAGATGAACCCTACCGCTACAGTGATAGTTATGTTGGAATGTTTCCCATGTTCTGTTGAAAAATTCGATCATTTCGGCGAGTACTGCCGCTAACGGAGAAGCGGACATCTGAAAGAATGCATCGAACTGAAAAAAAAACAAATATGTAAAGTTTCGGGCCGCGAGAGAAGAGGAGCGCCACGAACGGCACACGTACCCACCACGATTGATCGCCTGCACACTCGCGTGAAAGAACGTCCAAGCCCCGCCCGTTCGCCGGCGTTGTTATTATAGTACGGGGTTCTGCACATGGGGCCATATCTAACACCTGAGGCTAGCATATAGAAAAAGAGGTAGCTTGTGGTTGAGCAAGATTCAACAGTCAGTTTTATCCTATGATTTTTTTCGGCAAAATTAAAAATGATTTGCAATGAAGTTTACAAATATATGATGCGACTTTTCATACTTTTCCTCGTCGCTAATTGGCTTAGGAAAACTTAAATGACAAATTTTCTGCGGAATGCAACATTTCCGCCTCAAAAA